TGCCAAACTTGATACTTGTAAATAACTTGTGTGCACCGAAAACCGACGAGTACGAGCATAAATAATTGTTTTATTACACATCAAAACATTGAGTGTACAGCATACCTGTCGTGCATGCACTCATGTTTAGAGAATTACTGTTACTACCCAGTCAAAATTCACATTTTCCATGTCTGTCCAAATGTATTCGTAGTATTACTAAATCCGACGTTTAAATAATAATTATGTTAGGAAAATGCCTCCATAACTAAAGTTAACAAATGTAATGGAACATTATTTGCATTTTCATCCCTGCGGTTGTATTTTCGTCCCTTCATTTGGCCTACTAATGAAGATGCGATTGGATATGAACACAAGGACAGCATACTGGAATATACGCTAACTAACTTTTTATGTTAAACCGAAGATAGTGCCAAGAACAACTCCGTTGCAACACTAATTTTTTTATATTTGACTAAGATTATTCTTAACATCAAGTAATGGTGCTCTTCATACATTAGCTGTAAATCACGGCTAATTGTCCTACATTTTCAAATAATTTGTCAAAATATCTTCATATCGAATGACCTTCCACTATTGTAGTATAGCAGTAGATAAATCCACGAAATCGATAGCTCTGTAAGTCTTTGACATTGGATACTGACCACATTAGTTTTAATAAACTCATTTAGCAAACGTTGCTCGGACATGTATCCACACCAAATCACGAGTTGGAACGCCGTGCTCAACGTCTCCCGAGATCACTAGCCGGTTTAGATCAGTCACTTCTCGATATATTGATAACCCATCAAATATATCTTCCAACCTCTTCGCTTCTGACTTTCGATTACACTGGGTGGGTGCGATTCAATTATCGGTGTTTGTGGTAAGGTGTTGTCAAACTACAATACCTGTGGCATATTCATTGGTGAGCCTAACGTGATCTAGAACACCAACCCATAAACCATGGGTTTGTTCCTTTTTCGAACTCCATAAATCATTGCTTTTCTTCGTTTTTATATATTTTGATTTTTTTAAAGTTTTCAGATTGTTCCCCCATTCATTTCTGTACTTCATATTTGCCATGACAGAAATGACACCTTAAGTACTTAAGCCAACTGCCCCAGACCGACTATAAACTTGAGAAGCACTGTTGAGTTTAAGCTGATGAAGCTAACTCTCTATTGGTTCGCTATTTGCAAGCTGTTCTTTACGCACTGCCTTCAGTCCCAAATATCAGCGGCCAGCTCCGCTTACTATTATGTTTCAAACATAAGACGGTTTATGTGCAAAAATAATACACCACATCGCACCATAAAATGAAAAAAAACGATTTTTCGAACACTTTCCAAAGAAATGTGTTAATAAAGTATGCTGTGAGAAATCTATTGACAATAAGGTAATGATGGTTAATGGTTTGAACAGAAGCCTAAGAAAAAACACAGTATATAAATATAGTAATGGAGCTATTTATTGATCATAAAATATGAATACATGAAAAAAGTAATATTCACTAACAAACTAGTTCCAAGTATTCCTAATTTTGTAGTATTCGCACCACTGTCACACTGAGGTGTTCATTGATTAGCTAAAAGGATTGTATCATTCAAACCCGATCTTGTAATAGCCTAATTTCATGCACTCCTGGATATTTTACTGAACTCACGACATATTTCTTTTTCGACCTTCCCTCTTTATCAGAGGATCTCCTGGGAACTTTCGAAACACTCCTTTCGGGCTTTGTTGTTATATGATCACCTCACTTTCATCTGCTGCTCGAGTGTGTACAAGATAATCAGAAATGTTCAGTCGAAGTTCAGTCGAGAGACCTTCTACTTAAGCTAGATAAATACTTTTTCTGTCCCGAGATCAGTAACCTTACCAAACCTCAGAAAATGAATGTAAGATTATCTATTCTATCAGTGCTCATATGGTTAATAATTAAAACTTGGGCTTACCCAAAAAATATATGTCTGGAATAGAAGATTGTAGATTAGTAAAACTCAATATTTAATGCATCACAAGCACCAGATGAATGAAGACGAAAGATTAAGGTCATGTATCTAGACTTAACACATCAGCCATTACAGAGTCTCCAACACGGTGTTTTATCATTAATGTAATTCAAATAAGATAAACACCTTAAACAGTTAGATCATTGTGGTATTTGTATGAACTAATTGTTCATTTATACTTGATTGCCCGCTGAATACGAATTCAAGACATAATACGTTCATTTGTGTTCATCTAGTTCCACATATAATAAACTGTAGTATTTCGAAAATTCCTAGTTAGTACAATAACTCGAATAATTTTAAATATTATAATCAGTTGAATTATAGTATTTATCACCAAAAACAAGATTTTAAGAAAGGCGAAAATTATCATTTTAGGCAGCGACTTAATGAGTTCGAATGAAAATGCGAAGGTCATGTTTCTCATAAGGTTTAAGAGCAGTGTTATAGAACATATCTTAAATAGTCGTCTATGTGCAACATTTACATCTGTATTGTTACATTTATAAAGCCTTCAAAATTGATACCTCATTTGATCTCCAAAGCTAGGTTGTCAAGAATTGGGAAATCCAAGTATTTTACATATTAATGACTGAATGATAGAATAAGTTTACCTTAACCTTGTCTACATAATTCCCCATTAGATTCTAGGCAGACGTGAATATTGAACCTTGAATTACGGATAGACTCTTTTTTTTTCGTTTCATTTTTTGACGACACATATAAACCTTGAATTTTGAGGTTTGTGCATCTGAGCAATATCACAGCGCTCACACAAATCAAATGAGATTTGTGCGGTGCATATGTATTTGGTGCCATTTTGCACCAATATTTATGTGTTTAAATGACAATTATTATTATGGACAAATATAGGACCAATAATCAAATCAATGGGAAATACAATTGAAATGACAGGTTAAAGGTTCACAGTAGCCAATCATGATGGAGGTCTACAGGATAAGTTGAAAGTCATATATGGAGAAATCCCAACACCACTGCTACTTGAATTTTGTGCCAATGATTTCGTTCAGAAGAACGATGAAAGCTCCACGGTCAAACCATCGAGCTCAGAGAACAAAAGTGCACGATAACTTTGTGTAGGTTATAGTGTAGTGGACAAAACACGACTGAGGACAATCGAATGTATTTAGACACAAATTACAGTCTATCTCACTAAATTCTGATAGCCATACAGTTATTTTGCAAATAACAACCGATTGTCCCCATCTTCACTGATCCTCCTGTAAATATCAATCCATCTTCTCTAATTTCATTGTTTGTGCATTTTCCTACCAATTGCGCTTCATTTCAGTTCTTTCCTTATCGGTCTTCTGCCAAAATACATCCTATGTCTAGCCATCACCATATACTACTTATATGGATATATGTAGGTCACATCACAATAGTACTAGCTGCTATATCCTGTACCTTTAAATCCCCCTCCGTCCAAGATACCTCTTTCCCCGAAATAAGAACTTTTTGTCTTATACTCAACTTCCCTACAATCACATATTCTATTTCATTTTTAGTTGTTCGCCGTTCAATGTTTGTGTTTTTTTCTTGGGTGCTGTACAGTATTCTTGTATGTGATTTTAAACCTTGTTAAAAAAGGGGATATTACTCCGTTTTTGTGGGAAAATTTGTTAGATTACAAGTTAAGATTAGTGTTAGCTAACTCAAGCCTGAGTTTCATTACAACTAAAAGTTAATGTCACCATATAATCAACTTACCCGATCGTCCGCTACTATATAGCGAATAATAATGCCTTCTAAGTTGCCAAAGTTAAACGTTTGTTGTATGACAAAATATACGGTTCTTCAGCGTTATAACAGGAATACATCTTATGTGGGTCACCGTAATAGTCTGTTTTACTGGGATCATAAGATGTATGTTTTGCTGATATTTGATTTCAGCTTTCAGAAAAGTAGTTTGGATCTAACATAAGATCATCCCAACAGTATTTTCAAACCATAATCTCAGTATTATCTACTAAGGTTTGTTAGGGAAAGAATATGTAAAATTTAGTGGTCACACAAACCGCAAGATGTATTGCTTTAAAAGTAAATCTATGAGATGCTATATCCCATGTGGTTCGTTCATGAAATACTAACGATGCCCAGGTTGCATAAATTTCTATTACCACTTGATAACAAGTATGTCAAAACTACCAGTAATTCTATACAAAGGATAAATAATTCCAAGTGACTTCGGTTTCTAATGTGATATTCGAGAAGCTAATTAGATAACTAGTTCTAAGGCAGTGACGTACGTCATAATGTTAACTTTGCTTTAGGAATTATGACTGATATAACATATGTATCATTAAATGTGTTCATGAAATGTCAGTTACTAAGTTAGAAGTACAAAGATCATTATTACAAATACCACCTTCCTAACGAATCTTCAAAATTACGAAATCAAGCAAACCAAATAACACTTCCTGACAAAATTACTATCTAGAGGAATGGCAGGCGTGAAAGAGTAAACGCACTATTCTTTCAACACATATTCAGGATCTACAGCTCATTTGACAACCCAATCAGTTTGATAAGCTTCATCCATCCAACTTTGCCAGTTTTTTTAAAATCTGAGCAGTCTAACTAAATATTACCCTATCGAATAATTTATTTTAAATCCAAATTACACATAATACCTATAGATACTAAATGAATGAACAAGGTGGACATATTTAATTAGGCTGAGTAGATTTTTTAATTGCCTACAAGTAGCCCATCGTTGAAAAACTTTCTAATAACGAGGTGAGAACTAAATACTGAATCAATAAGAAAGTGGTGCAAATAGATTACATTTTAGAACACACATATATAATTAACAGATCAGCCAAAATGGAAAAGATGTATTTAAAAGGAATCGAAAAACCCAGTCCAAAGAAATGTACAACAGAATATTGATCTTAAAGTATACAAAGGATTAATCAGACAACAAGAGTAAAACAAAACTAAATCACAGTTCAGGCTTAGTGCATACGCTTTACAAGCAATTATTTACAAAAGTCTATTATAAACAAAAGAACCAAAAATAAATGAACACCGATACGCACCATAAACAACTCCAGCAACTAAAGAAATCAAAACGCCTCGCAACGACCACTTAAATATGCGCCAGGAAAGAGGAGGTTCAAGTAGTCTACAAAAAAAAATAAATGAACGTAATACATGTTAAAACCTTTCATTAATCACCAAAAGTTATCATAAACAGCGTTAAAAACAACTTGAACTGATAGATCATAAATTTTGGAAATGTTTCAAAGCATTTATCATCGTAAACTGATGTGAAGAAAATAATAACTGACAATTCAGGAGTGCTGTGGAACTGTTGTCTTAATTATAGACTCGGTCAGTCATAATCAACATAGAGCCTACCACAAATATTACTGTATCACATTAGCACGAGATGAAACTAACAAAATGAGGAAAGAAGTTGAAACGATTGTAGTAACTATTATAATGAGAAAGGTTAAACATTGAGAATGTGGTTTGGAAAGATGTTATAAGGACAGAAGATCTAAAGGGAAGTAAACAGTGAATGCATCTACATAATAAAGCTCGATTCTGAGCCACGTCACTACACTTTTTAAATCTCTGGTTGCGATTATTACTCAAACCCAAAAGGGTCGTCTACATCTACCCGTGTAGGTCAGACCAATCATAAATCAATTTGCACACTGGTCCACAGTTATGGTTTGCCCGCCCTTAGCTATCGTACAACTTACTCTTAAGTCAGGCACAATTGAAGTTCAAGATACCCTGGAACGGCCGAAAGTGGGGAGAGTCCGTTCTCACTCTCGAAATGCTCTCACATGGCCACACGTATATAGCTTCTGCCAAGGAAGTCCTACTCACTGCCTTCTCGTGGCGGAGGTATTGTTTACGAAATTGAAAAGACGAAAAGCTAATGTCCGGCGCTTCAACCGGGTCGGTAGACACGGTGAGTCTATCTAGGGGAGTTGGAAAACCCTCATTCCAAACCAATGGTGCACATGGGCTCCAGGATCCTGATGGAACGAATGGCGTATGAACCAACTGTTGGTCACTGACTACCATGGGACTGCATCTCCTAACGATGCTCCACTGCCTTGTAGATCAGACATTTAGGTCAAAGGCTCCGGGTGTGGCCCCCTAAGAAAACCACCTGCTTCGGTTTGGGCACCTGGGCAGTACCTCAGCCCTACCACAAGTCAAATGAGATTTGTGAGGTGCATATTTATCTGGTGCTTTTCGTACTAATATTTATGTGCTTCAATAATAATAATAATCATAATAATAATGGTAATAATAATAATATATGGTGGTGGTTCGGGATGGTAACATTTTTCAGTCACCTCAGTCTATGTAGATTCACCTCTTCATCAACCGACTTCCCAGCTGTGCTTAATATACTGCGTCTAGCTTCAACATAGCTTATTTTGTTTATTTATTATTTATTTAAACACATAAATATTGGTACAAGGAAGCACCAGATAAATATGCGCTTCACAAATCTCATTCGATTTGTGTTAGGGCTGAGATACTGCCCAGGTGCCCAGATCGAAGCAGATGGTTTTCTTAGGGAGCCACACCCGGAGCCTAAAGGTCTAATCTACAAGGCAGCGGAGCATCGTGAGGAGATCAGTCTCATGATAGCCGGTGACCAATGATTGGTTCATACTCCATTTGTTCCTTCAGGATACTAGAGCCAGCCCATGTGCACCATTGGTTTGGAATGAGGGTTTTCCAACTCCCCTAGGTGGATCCTCCACATCCACCGACCCGGTTAAAGCGCCGGACATTCGCTTTTCGTCTTCTCACTTTTGTGAACAACACCCCCGCCACGAGAAGGCAGTGAGTAGGACTTCCCTGGCAGAGGTTATATATTCGCGTGGCCATATGAGAGCATTTCGAGAGGGAGAGCAGACTCTCCCCACTCTCGGCCGTACCAGGGCATTTGGGGGCTTACTCGGTCGTTCCACGTTACACCAGCAATAATTCAAGGACACTTATAATCGAAAACCTGCGGCTTACAAGTCTTTAACTTCCATAGAGCATGTTTCACACATTTATAGTAAGACGGAGCGTACTGCTGCGCCGTATACACGTTTTCTGCTGAGATCTTTGTTATAACCTATGAACGCCAATCGTTATATCTTGTGCCCGCCCATTAGAGAGCAGTGAATTATCGGTGGGACCGATGATACACGAAACCCGTACGAGCAGTCTTGAGTACTTGTTGGTCCTACTTTCTGCCTAGCCCAGCCGGTTAAGTCCAGAACACCGATTCCTGCCTCTGCGGTATAAATCATTTATTTCAAGCGTACTGGGTTTATATACTAATCAAACAAACCAGATCGTACCATAAAATAGATAATAACATTTGTACAAGATTCAGACAAATGTGGCTGTGAATGCGGGAGACAGTAATTAATAGACTGGGGATAACTCAAGAACGGTCAATCGTATAGTAATGGTCTACAGGTCAAAATAAAGCTTATAGTAAGAGGAACATAAATATGAATAGTTTGGTTGTTTAAAAATTATACGATGAAAATATACATAAATAGTTCTCGAAAGTTACCATTCATAATTCTCTTCGGGATATAACAATCTCACCAAATACCAAACTACTAAGGCTAATGGAGCTTCTATGATAAGTGGGTAGTTAATGTAGAGTAATCTAGACAATGATGTACAGCAGGCCAAAAGTAATGTTTTCGAGTCAGATTCCGATGGAGATAAGAGCATTCCGAATATGTTTGCATTGTTACTGGGTAAGTAAACTAATGAAGGGTGAAAAGTCGGTTGACATAATCATGCTCAGTTCTGAAAATTCTCATTTTCCTAAGCTCCAGGTAAGCGTAGGATGATCAGTGAATTATTTTAGACACTATATTAGTCAGACTGATTTCTGTGGTTATTAAAGGCTCCTCAGAAATGTACAGGCATGAAAACCAATAATAAAAACAATGTGCAGTGCAAATTATTCATAAGTGCAAGTTATTTTAGTGGCAAACCAAACAAAAAATCAAGCTGAGAGAGGAGTGAATGCTCACCAATTGCATTGAATGGTGATCCAGCTATGTTGCAAACTAAATGAAACTGAAAAATGTGGACTGTTGATTATGTCGTTGAATAGTGGTGTTTGTTGCGGAAAATACCAGTTTTAGACGTGGTCCTAAAAGCTTTAAACTGAAAAAAGCAGCAGTCTAGTGTATACAGTTTCCAAGACCAGCTGTGTTAGCCTGTTGTGAAAATGATATCAGTAAAAGTGGTAGGCTTTCATAATAAAAATACCACATCTATCTAAGCGCAGCTACAAGCAAATGAAACACACATACGCTTTAGAAACTGTATGTATAAAGTTTTGAGACATTAATTAAATACTTTAGAGAACAATGATGAGTAATAAAACATGAGGTTGATAGACAATCCAACTGGGAAGTCAGTAATTGAAAACCTTAAAAATGGAATGTGATTTCATGGTAAGAAATGTATGAACAGTCATCACCCTGTTAAACGTTGGATACACAATTTTCACTTACACACATAATTCATGTTTTTTGATTGTGTTTACTGTTGACCAGACTTTGCGGATTCCAGCCACATGACCTATTCCAACAACAGCGACAACAACTCTTGGCAATATATTGGTCGGTGGCCAGTGTGAACAACAACTCAGATGCAGAGAAGAGGGGTTATTAAGGAGATTATCTTGTTCAGAACTGTTAGCGATTCCATCCAGGGGACAGTCATTAGAGTGATCAATATTTTTACGATGTTGCACCACAGACTCTTCAATATTTGATGAAATATGTATCTCAGAAGTAAAATTCGTCTTTATTGCTTGTGCTTTCAAATATTCTTCCATGCCAGTAGCCTCCCAGATGGAACGAGCTAGATATTGATCTCGTTCATCTAATAATATCCTTGTTAATTCTGGGTGTTCACCAGCCATGGAAACTAACAGTTTTTCTGGAAAAACTGTTTTTCTTCATCTCCTCAATTTGCTCTTTCCTAAAAGGGAATTTACAATATCACAAAAAAATTTTAGTGTAATGGAAAGCCGTGGGATACTACTGAAATTAGATGCATAACACAAATAAAGATCAATAGACCAAAAAATAAATTAAAAAGAAAAGAGCAACTGAGACTCTTCTCAACTGAACAGGATAGTTTTCACTAGCTGAGCTACAGGTCACTGATCCTAATAGTGAAGTGCTAGGACGGTTAGAAACTCGGGAACTGTTACATTTCAATAGAAACCTTTTTCGAATTATTTACGTTTGTGGTCAGTGACTAGAATAGGAAACAAGTTTGGAAAACACTCTGCTTACAGAACAATTACACTTAACGAGAGAAAGTGCAGTAACTTTAGATATGTAGGCAAACTTCAGCATACAGACAAAAACTCAGGGTTGAAGTTACTCACTGACAAAAGTACACAGCGTAGTAAATTCATAAGCAATTACTTACGTAACAGGTTGGAAACTGAATAGAAGAGCAATAAAAACTTGAGCTTAGTCCACGGACCCAAAGTCTCCAAAGCTCTATAAAGTGTAATGTTTACAGGACGGTCTCCTAGAACAACGTGACAGTGAGGCTGCTTCATCGCCTATACGGTAGATCCAAACAAATGTACAGAAAGTATTGCATAAAACACCAAAAAAATTTCCTAGTAAATAAATGTCACTAAGCATGTATCATGACAAAAATAGTCAGCATAAATTAATACATTAGAATGATTGATTATTACTAGACAGACAACTTCACAGTAACAAACACTTTACTGAAGAATCTCAGTGTTAAATACTAAGAGGTAGGGAGTATAATGTATGACGATAATTCGTCACAAACCTATATATCTACCTTACCTCTTTAGCGGCAGCTCTGAACTCTCCACCAGGTGCCATTCCAAGAGTATCAACCAAATAGCCACTTAATCGAAGCAAGAGATAATGCAAAACACCTGAACTGACACCATGCTGGGTAAAAATGAAACAAATTTAAATAATACATAATAAGACATTACAACAGTGTAGAAAACACCGGGAAAATCAAAAGTAGATAATGGAGGACCTAACAATAATTTGTCGCATTATGTAGCCTTTCGTTACGGTGAAGTAAATGATGCATACGATGAGATGAGGTTAAAACAGAAATGATGAATAAGTCCAAGGGATAAAAAGTATGGACTGCTATTATATCCAAAAGCAGGAATATAAAGGGTGGTATTTCAAATTAAGACAC